GGGGGGCAATGCTCCCTCTAAGCTGTGGAGTCTTGTGAACAAAAATCCTACTTTGTGAGCTGCTGGCATTAAAGTTGAGAGTGAGCGATTTGGCTGCTGCATCAATTAGTTTGCTCTGGAGTCATCCGGAGGCTAAAAAACTGTTGAGCTAGCTCAGACTTACTCAGCTTAGAGGGAACACTGGAGAGGCGCTGCGCTCGTCCGGGGGCGTGCAAAGGGCTTGGGCTGGAGGGGACTTTCTGGTGCCTCCCATCATTTCCTCGCCCCCACCCTGGCCGCCCACTCACCAGAGCTCCCCCCGACGGGCCCCCTGGCCCCCGGGAGGAGGCGCGCTGGAAAGCGGAACCTGCGGGGCACGGGGAGGAGTTTGCATAGAGCTCTGGCCTCGTCAGCTCCTCCTGCCAGCCTGTGGGTGCCGGGGTGGCTGGGCGGGGAAGGGAGCCTCACGCCTCAGCCTGCTGGGCTCTTCCAAGCGAGTCCCGGCCGCTCCCCGCTTCTTCGGGCCACGCCACCGGGCTGAGGGAAGGAGGGAGGGGAGGGAGGAGGGAGAAGCGCCCCCCGGGGGAGGCTGAGCCCCTTCCTGAAAGGTTCGGGAGGGTCTGACGCTCCTCAGCCCCCCTGCAGTTTACGCGCCTGCACAAGATCAAGGGTGGCTGCTGTATAACTGTACTCACTTTCCAATGGTAGAAGTCCTGCATCTTAGGTTGCCAACCAGTGGGGAAAACAGCAGCTCAGTGGGATTATTTCTTTTCAGTCAAATCTCACAGAGAATGGGGTGGGGGAGATGTAGGGTGAGGTCCCAAATTGTTTACTCCTCTAAATAGCCTGGATCCTGCCTAGATTTCCATGGACACAAGGAGGGGACCAATTTTTACTGACTCCTCCCTCCTGTAGCAGCCCAAAACACACACACACACACACCAATGCTGCTCCTGAGAGACAGGGGATACCAAGAATAGCTGGAGGTGAATGGAATGGAGATCTCCTGCTGGAGGGAGGATTGGTAAAAATCACCCTCCTACTTGCACCCCCAGAAAACTAGGCAGGATCTGAGCCAATGGTTTTCTACTAGTGTAACTTTATTGCTTCTCCTGAAGAATCCCATAAAGAATCCTACTGAGAATTTTGTGTTAGAAATACAGCCCTGAAGATGCTGACAGATATATGGACTGTTTTGTTCAATTATATTTTATTTGTCTGTGTTAGTGGTTAGTTTTATTGTAGTCTGACTGTTGAATTTATTTGTGCCTTGAGAGCCTTTGGGCTAGAAGTCAGGTTAAAAAAAAAAAGCCTCACCGCGTCCCGGCTGGATAACCCGATCTTCAGTCTTTGTCAAATTAAGCCATGACAGCTGCTGTTCTTTTATTCATGTGTTCTCCAGTTAATATGATCCACCAACACTTCTGTACAAGTTTTTTTTAAAAATGAGCATTTTCTTTGGAGCGTCTTTCTGCCATGATTTAACCTTAAAGTGTGATGCCCTCAGCCGTGCTTGCCAAGAGTGGGGGGTCAGTGCGCTGCAAATCTCTGTGCAGGAGTCCTGCCACTGGAGATTCATTCAGTGTTTCATATTGCCTGTCTCCTTTACCTTCATGTATTAGAGTCATCAGTCTTTAGGAAGGACTAAAGCTCAGACCCTGGTATCTCCTGCTGCAAGGGTCTCCAAGCACCAGGACTGGGGGGGACTGAGGGGGATTTCTGCCAATTGGAATAGCCATAGGTGGACTCGATGGGCTGTGTCTGTCTTGCACTAGAACAGGCAGACAACCTGATTAGGCTGAATCCAAGACAGCAATCCTAAGTAGAATCCTACTCACAGCTCTCCAGGGGTTTATCTCCGAGAAAAAATGTTTTTTAGGATTGTACTGTAAATCATATCCTGCTTGTGCAAAAGGGGTGGGGAGGTGATTTCTGTCAGTTCCTTCTCGATGATCTCAGGGATCTACTGAGCCACAAGCACCACACTCGGGGAGATGGGAAAACTACCAGCACTGGTCTGCTCCAAGATGCCCACATGTTCATATTTAACTTTTACCTTCAGCTTAGAAATCCTGAGAGTTGCTTTTCATTTTTAAACATGTCTCAGGCAAAACCCCAATGTCTTTTGTCCCGGTAGAATAATATTGAAGATCTAAAAGTGAAGCAAGAGGAGGAAGCAGAATCTATGATCAACACTCAGTTTAAACTGGAGCATATTGTATACTGCCAGGATGGCATTTATAGTGATGATTTAAAGAATGTGCGAACAAAAAATGTTTTTATTCAGGCTTCTACTGCTGCAAAGCAGTGTTCCATGGAAGAGATGACGTACCACTTGAATGCCTACTTCAAAGTGAGTTTTAACCATGTATGTTTTTCTTTCACAAAATTACAACCTTTAAAATGCAGTTTATATGGCTGAATTTGCACTGCACTGTCAGTACGTGCAGTGGTGGATTTTCAGTAGCTGGTTTTCTGACTGCTGTTGAAAGTTGAGTTATCTGAACTGGAAGACTTTTATCAATTCCCCCCATCTTCTCTCTGGGCTGTATTTTAAATGCACTTTGATATAGATCTTACAGTGCTTAGTGACAAGATGTAACAGTGTAAGGTGAAAAATATAACCATTAGGAATAGAGAATGTGTCTCAAATAAAATTTCTGTTGTTCTATAAAAGACCACTTAGGAATTCTGGAAAGTCTCATACATCAGAGTGATTATCAGTGAAGGAAAGGGCATTTTAAATTAGTGATGGAGTATGGTACTTTTACTAACAATATGGTACATTACTAACAATCCAAAAGACATCTGGACTACAGAAAAGGAAAGTCAGTGTACACATGCCTTTTTATTGATTTGTTTTCCTGGGAACTGAATATACCCCCTTCACCGCATGAGAGGTTGGCCCCTAAGGGCATATTTTAAAAAAGTTTTTACAAGTATATAAGGATCTGGCCTGGAAAAATCACAAGCAGGAATTAAGATTGCTGGGGAAAAGATCAACAACCTCAGATATGCAGATGATACCACTCTGATGGCAGAAAGTGAAGAGGACCTTAAGAGCCTCCTGTTCAGGGTAAAAGAGAAGAGCGCAAAAGTGGGCTTGAAGCTCAACTTCAAAAAAACTAAGATCATGGCATCCGGCCCCATCACTCCTTGGCAAATAGAAGGGGAAGTCGTGGAAGTAGTGACAGACTTCACGTTCCTGGGATCCCAGGTCACCGCAGACTGTGACAGCAGCCATGAAATTAAAAGACGCCTGCTCCTTGGGAGGAAAGCGATGGTGAACCTAAATAGCATGATAAAAAGTAGAGACATCACCCTGCCAACAAAAGTCTGCATGGTCAAAGCAATGGTATTCCCAGTAGTCATGTATGGCTGTGAGAGTTGGACTATAAGGAAGACCGAGTGCCGGAAAATAGATTCTTTTGAACTATGGTGCTGGAGAAGACTCTTGAGAGTCCCTTGGACTGCAAGAAGATCAAGTCAGTCAATCCTAAAAGAAATCAACCCTGACTGTTCCCTGGAAGGCCAGATAATGAAACTGAAGCTCAAATACTTTGGCCACCAAATGAGAAGGGAGCACTCACTGGAGAAGACCCTGATGCTGGGAAAGACTGAAGGTCAAAGAAGACGGGGACAGCAAAGGATGAGATGGTTAGACAGTGTCATAGATGCAACGAACATGAAATTGAGCAAACTTCAGAGGATGGCGGAAGACCAGAAGGCCTGGCATGATCTGGTCCATGGGGTCGTGAAGAGTCGGACTCGACTGTGCGACTGAACAACAACAAGGATCTTCCAAACCGTGCAAGGGTGGTACCAGTATTACCCTGTTCCTATTTATCTACCAAAGAGATTATCTTACTGGTTTCCATGCTTCCTAGTTTGCATTCTAGCCATTAAGCGCACACAGTGAGTTGCCTGGAAAACTGGGGAGTCTTCATTGACTTATAATGCAATGAGACTTTCAGCCAGCACAATGCAGCCAACTTTCTGCACTCGCACTGACTGCCATGGACCCATTTCTCTGTCCATAATAGGGCTGCCTGGCAATCAGTAGGAGATGTGGGGTGGGGACTGCCATTGGTTGTGATTGGTATCCTCAGTGCAATGATTTCTCTTCCAGTATGACCCATTATAGCAGTCCCTTGTAACTCTATGGTTTGACAGTGGAGTTTGGGGCAAATGCTGGAGCGTCACCCAGTGGGACAAGGTATCTTCTGGGTCACACTGCAAATGACATCACACTGGGGATGCCAGTCATGCCCCCTCCCATTTCACCCAGGTGTTTTCTTACCACCACCCAGCTGAGCAGCAGCAGGCAACAGCAGCTGGGGGCTGGGAGATCTCCCACCTCCATCAGGAAGCTGGCAACCCTTGTTCATAAATGTATGGACCATTTCAGTACTGACTGCTTTGAGGGTATTGCAAGCACCTCTACCTCTTTTCCTTTAAACTGCCATCTTCTCTGTTTCAGATGTATTTGGAAGTTTTTCTTTTCCTTGACCAAGAATCCAAGTTTAAATGTATAACCTCTTGTAATGACAGGCATTCTGCTTGCAACATTTTTGAGTTTTGCCATATTTTGATCCAGTCTTCAAAACAAAGCAATTATCTTCAATTCTCTTTTCAGAGTTCTGGAAACCGTCTTGGTACCCAAATTCCTCTGATCATTCAGGCCTATGTTCTCCAAGATTATGCTGAAAAGCTACAGAATGCAATGCTGCAGCTCTTGCAAAGGAAAGATCAGTTCAGCGTTTTCCTTCGTGAGCGAAATGATGCAGGCAATAGGAGGAACGCCCTGAAGGAACGGATCAGCCGTCTCACCAAAGCTCGAGAGCGCTTAGCAAAATTCCCCGTTTGAAGAAGAGGTGTTTCTGTGTTGCTCTCTTCAGTCATTCCATAGTGGTTTTTGAGTAAATACTTTGAAAATACAAAATTAGGCATATTAATTTAGTGCATGTTAGATTTTAAGAATGTATTTGAAACCACATTTGTGTCTGACAAAGAGGAGGAATTTGTGGGCCATTTACCATTTCCTCCCCTTTATCCAATGCATTTCTTCCAGGCAGAGTATCAAGATAGAACCTGGGCCTACTTTCCTGAGGAAGGGCTCCAGGTGGTATATCCATAATGTTTTTACAGCAACTGAAGTCCAGCTGACGGTGGTTAGCTTACGGGTGAGCTCTGTACTTCTTCTGCTGTAGTAGCTCCCTGCCA